TATATATATATATATATATATATATATATATATATATATATATATATATATATATACACACACACTAAGCGAGAGCGCAAACCTCTTATTCTACGCGCCGGTCACTAATTGCTCACAAAGCGCACCGCTCAACCGTGCACTCCCACTTGTGCCTTAATCATCCGAGGGTAAAAAAGAATAGCAAATATAGTAATGGATTTAATTTCATTACCACTCCCATGCACTCAACCGCCGTCTCGTGGCTCCACTCTAATCACATGAGGGTAAAACCATATAGGAAATATCGTAACGGATTTAATTTATGCTACCACTCCCGCGCTCTTACACCCGTCCCGTGGTTCTCGTTCCCTGATCATGCGAGGGTAAAAAAGTACAAAATATAGTAATTGTTTTACTTTCCATTATTGCTGCCATGCAGCCCACCTCCATTACATGGCTTTGTTCACTAATCATGGGAGGGTAAAGAGGAATAGCAAATATAGTAACGTATTCAAGTTCCATTACCAGTTCATTACTAGCTTCCTCTTGGTTACCATCGAGGGGCCATGCCAACTAGATCCCTTACCATGTTATATTAGCCCATTTACTATCAGTTTTGCTAGAACTCATCTAGATGAGATTTAATTTGATCTCATTCATCTTTTATAGCCATTGGATGTGATGCTATAAGATGCGTGTATGCTGACGTGGGTTATATCCATTCTTGTTTTTTAGGTGAATGAGATCAAATTACGTCTCATCTAGATGAGTTCTAGGTACTCCCATTTACTATACCACGCCAAATACTAGCTATTCACTCGTAGTAAAATCCCTTGCAAACACAATAATGAAATAAAAATGGTTACCTGATGGATGTACGAGGGGTAAAAGTTATGTGGAACATAGTAAAAGAGGAAAAAGAATTACCTCTCTCACTACTAGTAAAAGAGCCATCCAAAAAAAATTTGTATTATCATTTTCTAATGAATACAAGATGGTAATTGTGTTATGATGTTGGTCTGGGCCAAATACAATTAATTTGGAGTATCCAATAAATGTAGCAATTTGTAGTAATAAACCTTGTAATATGCAAGAGTATGTAGTCTTGTAAATCAAACTAATTTACGTCGCAGTGCTAATTGTTATTAAAAATATGAGTTTAATACTAGTAATTACTTACCTCACAAAAACAAAATACTAGCAATTATTTTTTGCTAACTACTACAAATGATCCATTTACTGTTCACATGAACGCATACCATAGTAACGCATCATGTCTGCATTATTATAATTGGACCAGTATTACCACTAATTTTGACACGGACTAATGAATCATGTTTGTATTTCTATAATTAGACGTTTCTATCTTTTGTGACACGGAGCAGAGGGCACACTAGTAATGCATCATAATTGTATTACTATGACTAGACCCAACTTTACCATCAACTGGTGGAGTGGCTGGATCGATTAGCCAAACCGGTTTACTTGGAGTTGGAGCAGGGGCGCGCTCGCACGTTGGACCAGCGCGCAGAATAAGAAGTGTGCGCTCGGGCTCACTTTAGCAGTCCTACATGAAATTTTGTACATGTATACTACAAATATATGTATACATGTATACTTTTTCAGATTTTTTGAAGGTGTAGAAAAAGTATTTTTGCTGGAAGAAAATAAAGAGCTCAATGGAATTCGGCCTCTGCAGGCACTTTTCGCATATTTTCACTACCCTTGCCGCTAGAATCAGGCTTCCGGTCAATGATAATTCCGTGGAGCCATGGCATGAAGCACCAGGATCGTGGAGTATAGCACTAACAATTTGTTTCTCAAAAAAAGAAGTACTAACAATCTTTCTTGTGTTTGGCGGTTGCCACGAGTAGTTCATATATGCAATATACATCGTACTGTAGAAGAATTAACATCCTGGCACGATTCCTTTTATCCAAACATCAGGTTACAGGCATGTGGCAATCAGGCACATTAATCATAGCGACTCATGGGAAACCCAACGCGCGAACATAGCGAGGCATCTCTCTGGTTCGAACTCTGGTGCAGTGTGTCCGCCGTTCTATATTAAGAAAGTGGGTTAGGAGAGAGGTGTTAAAACAAACAAACAAACAAACAAATTCATATTTAGAAGTTACAGAAAATTTTAAAATTATCCCTCATGTACATGTAGTATGATCTACATCATGGTCTGCGGAAGTACCCTTTTTTTGGCAATCTATAATAGTGAATACTAGTGCAACTATTATAGACCCACATATTGGTCTTTTCTTTTTGTATCCCTCAAGTAAGCATACTTTTCTGTGAAATTTACATGTACTTAGTGGGAGTATATATATTTGTCGGAAAAGTTTTAATTTTCTTTAAACTTGAAAAGTTTAAATGTGTTCTTTGATTTCTATTTTTAGAAACAGGCTCCAAAGACATGGGCTCATTTAGCAATACTGGATTACTAATTTACTATACAATATTACCATTTACTACATGCTTATGTACTGCATTAGTTGACGGAGCAAGGAACGGGGCAGGACCCATGCCAAACACTAGCTACAGCAAAGGAAGAAACAAGCCTCACGACGGGCAGACTGGGGCTTGTCTCCGCCATTGTGGCATTAGAGGAATAGAGGTACAGTTCTTATGTTTTCAATGATATTCGAATTAGGATGGCAATAAAGGAAGTCTTGAACGGTCCAATGACAATTCTTAATCCATATGGAAATAATTTTGTATATGTCAAACTCATGCGGTCTCAGAAACGGAAGGCAGAGATATACATCATGTTACCTTTACCGTAGCAAATGTCAGGTTATTTCTGTATGTTATGGTGAATCTGCAGACATTATATTTCAAATAAGTACACTTATCCAAAGCAATCTATATACTAGAATATAATACAACACCAATCATGGAACAATATTATACAACTTATCATATATAAGTTCTCACCCTGCGGACTGTCCATCTAGATGCCAGGCCCTCCATTCATCCACAATGGGGAAATTCAGTGATCGCACCCAAGACTGGGTACCCAGAAACGGTATAACAGAATCATGGTCTCCACTGAACAACAAAGATAGATGAGCTTATAAACCAAGTGGTCAGCTTGGTAAGCTATCAACAAAATTTTGCAATCAAAGATAGATGAGCTTATAACATGACAACTTGGAAAATCGGAGATGGAAATAAGAGCATCTCTTATTCTTTTTATGTAGCCTTCAGTTCAGCAAAACTGTGCCTGCCACAAGTAATAAAGCAAACATTTATTATAAGATGTTTACCTATATACCAGTGCACGATAACCTTTTAACGTCATATTATGATGATACTTTATTGTGCTCTTGATGTCCAAAGAATAAGGTAGATCTCGTTCGTGGCACCTCACCCATTCGTCCTTGCTCCCCTAATTAAATGGTATATAGAGTCAAACCAGAAAGGTAAAAAAAATGTAAATACCAAGATTAAATTTCTTGCCGAGGAGAAAATTATTAGCTTACCTTCTTGATCCCAAGGGCTTTCCTAGTGAGGTTGTTGTTAGCCCAAAAATATGATAGGTAATTACCATATGTCTGTAGATGGAAAAAAAATGAACCTGATTTGAAAATAACTTTTGATGATGTAACAACATATTATACTTTTTTCCGACAAAGGGTGGATTTTATTGACTCAGAATGAAGCATCAAGATGATACAAACACAATGAGTACACATCCGGCCTCTGCATAGTTAGGATGCACACAGCCAATAACACACACACACAAAAAAAAAACACCAGCAAATAACAAAGTCATATAAAACCAAAGCTATGCGTAGGCGAGGGGGGAAAAAGCGATCAGATCCACGATCTTATACTTGCACCTAAGTAGATAACAACCGATAGATTTGCACATGTGTAGTGTAGTGAGAACATGAACATATCATAGCCGATGCATCTTTATAGTTGCACCTAAATATATCACAACATACTTTTGGTATTATATCTAAATATAATCCTTCCATAGATCTAGTGTGTTCTTATTTCTAATGGACAACAATCGACCAATGTTCATAACTGTACCTAAACATCACAGGACCATGGATATGGCAGACTTCGAATATTAATGTTTGACAAAGATATTCATAACCTTACACCTCATATACAGACTAATACAAACAATTGTCGTTTTCTATCAGTGTCAGAAAACGTCTTATATTATGAGACAGAGGGAGTACAACTTTAGTTCCTTGTAATAATTTGATATCATATACGACCAAACCGGTGGCTCAGTACAAATGACCGATAGTACTCCAAAAATACAAAGTTTAATTCTCTGTAATTATACCACATACTTATCACCAGCTAACACCACATACAAACTACCGACCAGATGGGTCACTTATAAACTTTAATGCAACATTTGATCTAAGAATCCGTTCGAATGGAACATCTGGTAATAATCAGGTCTTCATACAATTAATAAAAAAAAGTCTTCGTACACTTAATTCAGGTTGACTTACTTGGCAACCCATTGAAGGACGAGGAGGTGGATGCTTAAGTACTCCTACTTCCTCCTTTAGGATCTTTCTTTCTGTACTCCCGTCGTTTGGTCCGGAAGACGCATAGACACACTTTTTATACAAAATGTGTGGATGTGAAATTTCATTCCACAGCTGCAGTGAAACGTCAATTAGTTGGTTGAAAGGAACATATTAATATGTCAACCAGAACCATGTAGTAAGTTATTATACAGAGTCAAACACTGGGGAATGGCATGCTCGAGACAGGGTATTTGTATCATTAATTTTCACTTGATTTGTATACAAAAGAAGAGGGAGAAATTTCAAGTGGTTATATCCTTACTTGGTTGGACCTGTCCAAAACTTGAGCGCAGAGCGCATTCTTGGGGTTGCTATAATCTTCCCCTTGGCAGTGCTCCATTATCAACTAAAAATCAATCACATGCAACCACATGGAGACATAATTAACTAACCTCTTATGGGCGGAAGCAAACTACAGATCCGTAGGTGAGTGATAAGGTGTTGGAGGCATGTCTAATTAATCACCTCATACAACTGATCTGAAATTATGCCCATTCCATGAAGATATGGCACTCTTGATCCATAATCAATGTTGTATTCACCAGTAGCCGGGTTGCCGACCAGATAGCCCTGGTCAATTTTTTTATGACAAATACAAACTGTGTTCAGGTTGGGATTATGCAGCTAAAGTTGTTCGTGATATTTTCTAGATAAATGGAATATATTAATATTAAGCAGATCTCAATTACACCCGACCTCTGCATGAACACAATGTCAAAGAGCTAGTCAAGACATCAAGAATGCAAACAGCCAAATTATTACATAAGGAAATGACGCGGTGTGAATTTAGAGCACCTTAAGATTAATTAACGGCCTCACTCCAGCTTCAATATCTGAAAACAACATAGTAGTGTTCAAGTATGAATAAACATCTATCTTGCCAAAGGACCTTAAACAACTCACCAGTGCAACATACCTTCCGAGATCTTCTGTGCAAGAAATGGAACGATCTTTCCACCGGATGAGTCTCCTCCGACGTAGAAAGGATTTGAGAGGCAATCAGGATGCTCGGTGAACCACTGATTAAGAAGATAAACACAAAATTGTAACTAATCAATCAATTTAATCTATGTCCTCTGTCCTCTTGGAGTAAAAAATGTTCTTTGTCCTCTTTTTATGTATCCCTTGGGCAAATAGCAATATACTAGAAGGGTTGGGCGCGCTTTGCTGCGCCGTTAATGTTGTTGGGTTTCTTAAAAACATTACTCATTTTGTTTCAAAATATAAGATGTACTCCCTCCGTTCCTAAATATTTGTCTTTTTAGAGATTTCAAATGGACTACCACATACAGATGTATATAGACATATTTTAGAGTATAGATTCGCTCATTTTGCTTCGTATGTAGTCACTTGTTGAAATCTCTAAAAAGACAAATATTTAGGAACGGAGGGAGTATTACATTTTTTTAAAGGCAAACCTTTTTAAGTTTGATCAAATGTGTAGAGTAATATATCAAAATTCATAATATCAAATCGGTATAATTAGATTCATCATGAAATGAATTTCTATATTTTTTGTTTAATATTGTGGATATTGACATTTTTGGCTCTGAACTTGGTCAAAGTTAAAGGAATTTGACTTTCCAAAAAATAATAGTGTTTTTTTATATAGTTTGATGATTTGGTGGGCCTTTCTTGATGTGATTCTGTGTTATCCGCTAAGAAACTCATATTTATGTGGGAAATTCCTGCGTCGGTAGCTGCATGTACTATATTGGTGCTACAATATCATTTTTATAGCCAGTTGCTGCTGATTGATTTGAAAAATGATTGGCTCCATAATTGAATACCTCAATCGAATTGAATAGCTTCAAAATTAGGGAACAATGCTGACTTAAAATAATTGAATGGGATAGCTCCTTGAGCAGTTGTTGACCCAGTCAAAACTGAGTGACTCAATTTAAATTGAAGACCTCAATTAATTGTGAGGTCTTAAAAATTAAGAAGCATAGTGTATAGTATAAAGGAATTGAATGAGAGAGCTTTAAGAAATTGTTGACCCGACCAAAATCGGGTAACCCAATTTTAACTGGAGACCTCAATTGATTGTGAGTCCTTCAAAATTAGGAAGCTTAGTGTTATAGAGGATTTTCAAACAAAATGCCCTTTTCTCCCTATAGTTATTTGGGGCGCTTACTTTGCCCCATATTTTGGTTCGAATCACTTAATAACCCCTGGAAAAGAAGTTGAGGTCTACAAAACCTCTTAACCAAAGATTGTTGCTGACATGTCCGCGTTTGCATGAATAAGTGCCAAATAGCAGGGATTAGAATTGCGAACCAATATATAATCATTGAAAGAGGTCTCTATATATATGAGCGTTTGTGTCTGTACTGTGTTAAAATAAAGGCAGGAATTAGAATTGTCGTGTGCCCACGTGGGACGTGGCTTGGTTTACGAAAACGGATCCGGCTTGACTGCTCCCTCTCCATACTTCCATCTGTGCTCCCACCTCATCCTACGACTGTCTTTTTTTCTTTTTCTTTTTTAATCTAATTATCTCCCTCCCTGATTTTAAGTGGGTGGGGTCGGGCTTTATTTTGTTCCAATCAAATCAAGCCACGTATGCGGGAGCACGGATGGGCGCACAAGCGGGGAGCAGGCAAGTCTCGTCCTACGAAAACAAGCCATCTATGCCACGTGAGTACATCGACGGGCATATTATGGGCCATTAGTGGACCCTTCCAAACAGTTAAACAGGCCTCCTTAGGCTGGTTGTAACGGGGAGTATCATATAGTAGTATCATGCATATGATACTAGTGTATGATACTACCTCTCTAATGCATAGTATCATATATTAGTATCATGTAGTACTCTATGTATTGCCATGCATGACACAAAGTACTATAGCATTTATTATGATATGGTATCATAATATGATACTCCATCATCTCTTTCTTCATTTAATGCTACGATACCTAATCAAAATTGCCTAGTTGGCATACATGATACTAACTATGATACTACCATTACGATCAGCCTCATGATTTTTAGGGGGGCAGGGCCCCTCCCTTCCCCTTGATCCAATCAAGGATTGACAAGTCAAAACCAAGCACGTAAAACCACCATCGACGACGTCGCCTGCCGGTTTTTGATGTTTGTGCTCCCGGTCGTCTGCTTCCTCGCGTCTCGCATCCGTCTACCAAAGATGTTCCCCGCCACCACCGACGACGGCGAATCTGACAACCTCGCCCTATTACTACAACGCGACGTCATGTCCTATTACTCCACTCTGCCAGCCGCCGTCCATGTCGATGTGTTCCCTACGTTTGCTTCTGAAATGCGTTGTGGTGAACCGTGTTTTAGACGCGGCCCGCGGCGATGAACAAGGCTCTTAGGCGGGGCAGATTTGGGGATTTCTCTCTCAGGCAAGCTTTTATGTGGGGATTTCTCTCTCAGGCAAGCTTTTATGTAATCGAAGCCAGGATGGGAGTTTAAAGCAACTCCAATGGGACGACCCATTTCGTCCGCCGCCGTTCGTTTGGGTCGGCGCGGACAGAAAAGCCGGCCCAACACGCCGACCCAAACGGATGCACGTTTGTGTGGCGTCCGCCTGCCGATCCATTTCTAGCCCATTTTTAAGCCGGATTTGCATCGGCATAGACACGAGACGGATGCGCGCGCTCGTCCTCTTCCCTCCCCGGGCCCGCTGGTCGGTGGCACATTGGCCTCTTCCCATCGAACAACACACCCTCGCCCGCCTCCTTCGTCGCTGACGCCGCCGACCATTTTTTCTATAGATAAAGGATACCTAGATAGTTCTAGTATAGACATATAAAAGGAAAGATCAACTACTCGTCGTCACCCGACTCCGACTCGGTAATGTCCTCCTCTGACGTCGGAATGTAGGCGTCAACATACCGCTCATCTTCGGAGTTTCAGGACGACGCTTCTCTTAGCTTCATGTTCAATTGAGCGGCCTGCTTGCGCGAACGCTTGTCCTCCCGATAAACGGTTCGCTCCGTCCTCCTTTGCTTGTAGAACTAGCGCGAACTAGATCTCGAAGGAGAAGCCGCTTCGCGGACTCCGCGAAAATCCAAAGCGCCCAGGCGACGAGGCTAGTGAGAGGGGAGGCGAGGCGAGTGGGCGGCAGACAGAGTGTGGAGGGAACGCCTTCTTAACGCGCGCCGTGGCGCGCCAAAATCAGTGTGCGTTAGACCGATTTTGCCCCGCCCATGCGCTGGAGCGTCAAAACCAGGGCGATGACATGGGCGCTGGCATGATCTATGGCTGCGGGCCTTTTTTTTTAACTGAGCGAGAGATGAAATGGGTCGGCGCGTTGGGCGCACTGCCGACCCAAATGCAAAACTAAACGGACGCCGGATGGGCGGCCGACCCAAACAGACAAAAAACGGACAAATGCACCGTCCATTTGGGTCGGCCTAGTGGAGTTGCTCTTATCATTATCACTAGACACGAACCCATTTTATAGAACCGAGGCAGACCAACTTGCCGGAGCCGGAGAAGAAACTAGGATTCCGTGGAAGGAAAATGGACCGTTTTCCTTTGCGTACCTTGGTGAGAAACTTTTTGAGCTGCAGAGAAGAAGAGATTTCTCCAACATCATAGCCCCTTGGGTCCCGGGAGAAGGAGAACCCGGCGCCGACCGGTGAGTCCACGAACAGAATACTGGCAACTTTGGTCCATGCGTAGGGATGGTACCGCAGCCGTGGTATGGTGCCATTGTAGGGTTCTCCGACTAATTTCAACGGGCCTAGTACAAATGAAGTTGACTTTACTCAACCAAAACTCAGCAATCAGGCAGCTAGATCTAGAAGTGCCAGCCAAGACAGAAATAGTAAAGTCGGCTAGATCACTGACCTATCTCGAACAGCAGCGCGCTGAGGACGCTGCAGCGGTCGCCGCCGGTGATCCAGACGATGACCGGATCGCTCCGTGGGTCGCCCTCCGACTCGATGAAGTAGTAGAACAGCTCCGCGCCGTTCTGCTCGTCCACGGTCACGTACCTGCCATGGACAAGGAGCTTGTAAACGAGTGCACTTGCAGTGCAGGAGCGTCCGAGAACGTGCGTGCCTGACCGAGGAAGAACTTTGCTGGACCAGCCGTATGTTGCCCGGAAGTGTAGCATTTTTGACCGAGGAATACGTACCCGGTCTCGAGCCGGAAGGGGAGGGGTCCGTCGAAGCCTGGAAGGCTGGCGACGAGCGTCGGAGCCGCCTCGGCGGCGAGGAAGCGGCAGCGGCGTGGCAGAGCGGAGAAGAAGCAGAGGAGGAAGATGAGCCGCCGCAGGGGGAGGAGGGCCATTGCCATGAGGGGCAAAGACACTTGCGCCTCCATGGTTTCCCGATGAAATTGAAACCTTGCTTGCTCCCCCTGGCTGTTCGGGCCTCCGTCGGTTGCTCCAGCTGATCGCTGGCCGCTGAATTCCTTTAATACTGAGTAATAGTTAAAGTCTGGCAGCAGATCTACATCACGGATGAGATACAGTCGTTGCGCGCCGCGTGGACCTCGTCCGTCTTTTCCAGCGTTATCCATGCGCGAGAGAGACAGCACGTCGTAGTACGCCTCCGCCCCCCGACACGCTGAGACGACGACACACACCCGGCCGGAGCAAACAGCACGTGCCGTCTTCTTGTGGACTGGGTACTACGTTCCTCAAAGCGGCGACGCCTGGCTTGTTCCGCCGTGGAGCAGGGCATGGTCTATGGTGTGTACTCCCTCCGTCCGGAAATACTTGTCATCAAAACGGATAAAAGGGGATGCATCTAGACATATTTTAGTTCTAGATACATCTTTTTTTATCCATTTTGATGACAAGTATTTTTGGACGGAGGGAGTACGTGCCAGGACAAAGGACCCTTCACGATGAGTGGAGTACAGCCACATCAAATTTGTTGAAAGAGGCGTTCACGATGAGTGAAGTACAGCCACGTCCAAAAATATGTGCAGCTTGGGAATCAAATTCAGGACAACCAATCAAATTCAGTCGACTTCTCCTGCCTAAGTCTGAGGCGGCCCGGTCCCCCTCTGACTTTCTACAGATCTCCCTGCAAAACTGTATCATGAAGGCCATCACCAGGGCTCTCTACACTGGACTTCAGCGGCACATCCACTCCCTGGTGGACCCGGACCAGACAGGCTTCCTTCTTGGGAGGCGCATTTTCGAGAACATCGTCTACGCTGCCGACTCTGACAACTGGTCGAGCCTCCTCCTGATCTTGTCCGCGCGTGGGTTTAGTGACCGCTGGTGTGATTGGATCCAGGCCATCTTGTCCACTGGCCATGTGTCTGTCCTTCTCAACGACACTCCGGAGGACTGGATCCTTTGCCGCAATGGCCTTCGCCAAGGCGACGCCCTTTCTCTCTATCTTTTTATCATCGTGGCCGACGTTTTGCAGCGCATGGTCCGAGCGGCCAGTGCCGATGGCCATCTCTCGCACCCCATCGATCCCACCATCCCCTGTCCCGTCCTTCAGTACGCTGACGACACCCTTATCCTTTGTCGTGCGGACGTCCCCTCTGTTACGCATCTCAAAAGCATCCTCGACGCTTTCGCCTGTGCGACCGGGCTTGTGATCAATTTCCACAAGTCCGGGTTTGTTCCCATGCATTGCACCCCCGAGTTGTCGGCAGAGTTGGACTCCATCTTAGGGTGCCCCGTCTCTTCTTTCCCCCAACCTTACCTAGGGCTACCCTTGTCCCCGCTCAAGCTTCCTACCTTCGTCTACGACCCCCTCCTCAAATCATTCGACCGCTATCTGTTGGGTTGGCGAGCTCTCCTGCTCTCGTCGGGTGGTCGACTGGTTCTTTGCAACGCTGTCCTTAATAATCTTCCAACCTACTTTATGTGTTCTTATTTGCTGCCCTCTGGAGTGATAGAGTAGATTGATCATAGGCGCCGTTCCTTCTTTTGGACCGGCAAGGATACTTGCTCCGGGTGATGGGGTTATGTACCTAGGGTAGGGTCATGGACCTGTTCCAAGTAACTTACCCTAGGACATCCTTAGAAGAGGTCGCCTTCCAGTCGACCAACAAGGATTCACTCGACTGGCCTGAAGGACTCGACCACGAAGACTCACTCGACCACCAGGAGGTCAAGAGGCACTCTGCACCGCAGCGGCCTGTAATCAAGTAGACTTTATGATAGTAAAGGCACTTTATATGGGGCGTTACCAGTAACGCCCCAGACTTAACTCACCTTAAACCCTCTCCTACGTGGGCTGGCTGGGGTCCTGGCGCACTCTATATAAGCCACCCCCCTCCACAGGCAGAAGGGTTCGGCACTTTGTAATTCATACATTCATAATCCACTCGACCGCCTCCGGGCTCCGAGACGTAGGGCTGTTACTTCTTCCGAGAAGGGCCTGAACTCGTACATCCTTCGTGTTTACAACCTCTCCATAGCTAGGACCTTGCCTCTCCATACCTACCCCCCACTCTACTGTCAGGCTTAGAACCACGACAGTTGGCGCCCACCGTGGGGCCGGTGTTTTAGCGATTTTGTGGAGAAGTTGCGATTCTTCCGAGTACTTTCATCATGGTGTCTGCTGGAGTTTTGGTCGAGGGTCAAGAGATCCGTCTCGGCACTCTCACCTTCATCGCCGACGACTCCGCATGGCTCCAGGAGGCTCCACTCGACGTAGATGCGCTCCCCGTCCGCGGCGCGACGCATTTTCGCGCATGTGTCCGCGGCGTTCTGCTGCGGCAACCGTCGACCCAGTATCGGTCGGCACCTCCATCGTCCGCCCTCCCGGTCTCCCGCCAGCGCAAGCGCTCAGGCCGGTCGAGGCTTCAGCGATGGGTGAGTCACGCGGTGGCTCGCCAATCGGTCACTACACAAGTTGCGGCAATCGAGTCCAACGAATCTCTCTACGGCTTGTTCGATCAGTCGACTGGATCCGGAGAGACTGCTTCCGAGTGCGGAAGCAGCGATCCAGCGGCGGAAGTCTTGATGGTCGACGGGCCCCACAGCCCTCCTGGCTTCGCCCGTGGTGGTGGAGAAGGTGACGGCGGCGACCCTGCGCGAAACTACGAAGAGTACCAGCCCGAGCCACTCGACTCTCTGCAAAGAGAAGAGCTTCGTCGCAGGAACGAGGATCCCCTGCGTATTCCCATCGCAGGAGAAACCCCCGAGGCTCGTGCCTTGGAGGAGGCGCGTCTGGCCAATTTGGCGGAGCGCACTCGACTGGAGAACCTTCAGCGAGCACTCGACGAGCGCGCGCGGCAACGAGTTCCCGACACCAGTCGACGTCAACTCTTCCCGCCGACTCAGGTATATCGAACCCCAATTCAGAATTTAGCAGCTGCGACCCATATAGCAGAGTCCATTCAGCCTTCGCAGTCAGAAGCTGGCAGAGGTTTGCTGCAGATCAGGGATCTGCTCCGGGCAGCAGGAGATCAGAATTCAGCCGTGTCTCAGTCGCGCAACAGAATTCACAGTTGATCTGTCACTGTGAATACGGTTCAGTCGGCTCACAGCCCCAGATCGCCTCCGCGGCGCGAAGGGCGTGAGAATCGGCGAGATCAATATGGCGACAGACTCGACCGAGATGATAGGCGTCGAGTGCCCTATTCCCCTCCGAGGGGTGGGTCTTACGCTCCTCGGCAGCCAGATGATAGGCGTCAGTACAGTACAGGGCGTAGGGTTCCAGTTGACCCCAGAGAGCCAGGCTTCGACGCGCGATCCATTATCGTGCAAGGGTTGGTCGACCGGAACAGAGCCCATCGAGGCGCACTCGACAGAGATGTACCCACGAGCAGTCGAGTACATGTTTCTGGTCCTGAATGTTTCAGCAGAGCTATCAGAGCCGCTGTTATCCCCCCCAATTTCAGGTTGGCAACAGGAGTCAGCAAGTTCACTGGTGAGTCTAAGCCTGAAACTTGGCTTGAAGACTACCGAGTGGCAGTTCAGATCGGTGGTGGGAACGACGAGGTGGCCATGAAGCATTTGCCCCTCATGTTGGAAGGTTCTGCCAGGGCATGGTTGACTCAATTGCCTCCTAGCAGCATTTACACTTGGGAAGATCTGTCCCGAGTGTTCGTCAGAACGTTTGAAGGGACTTGCAAGCGACCAGCGGGATTGACAGAGTTGCAAGTCTGCGTGCAGAAAACTAATGAGACTCTCAGAGAGTATATTCAGAGGTGGATCACTTTGCACCACACTGTGGAAAATGTCTCTGATCATCAGGCAGTATGCGCCTTCAAAGACGGCGTCAAGAACAGAGAACTGAGTTTGAAATTTGGTCGAACTGGTGACATGACCTTGAGTCGGATGATGGAGATTGCTACCAAGTACGCCAACGGCGAAGAAGAAGACCGACTCCGAAGCGGCAAGCACAAGCCGAGTCAGTCGGAAAAAGGAAACACCAGTCGGAAACAGAAGCGGAAGGCTGAACCGGCAGCTCCTGGAGAGGCTCTGGCCGTGACTCAAGGAAAGTTTAAGGGGAAACCAAAAGGATCCTGGAACCCCAAGAAGGTAAAGGATAAAGAAGGGAACGACGTGATGGATATGCCGTGTCACATTCACACGAAGAAAGATGAAGAGGGGAATATCATTTACCCAAAGCACACCACTCGCCAATGTCGACTCCTGATCCAGCAGTTTCAGGGAAAACAGTCTAAGGACAAGGAGAAGGAATCGGACAAGGCCGAAGACAAAGAGGACAGTGAGGGAGGATATCCGCATATCAACTCCACTCTGATGATCTTTGCAGATGTGGAAAGCAGAAGTCGACTGAAAGTGATTAACCGAGAGGTGAACATGGTTGCCCCCGCAAAAGCAAATTATCTGAAGTGGTCCCAAACACCCATCACATTCGACCAATCTGATCACCCGACTCATATTGCCACCCCTGGGAGGCAAGCTTTGGTGGTCGATCCAGTTGTCGAAGGCACTCGACTGACAAAGGTGCTGATGGACGGTGGAAGTGGGCTGAATCTGTTATATGCAGACACATTGAAAGGTATGGGCATTCCGATGTCCCAACTGAGCACTAGTAACATGAGCTTCCATGGAGTTATACCAGGGAAGAAGGCCGAGTCACTCGGCCAGATAGCTTTGGACGTAGTGTTTGGCGATTCAAAGCATTTTCGCAAAGAAAAGTTGACGTTTGAGGTCGTGGATTTTCAAAGTGCATATCATGCCATTTTGGGGAGACCAGCCTATGCACGGTTCATGGCTCGACCATGTTACGTGTACCTCAAATTGAAGATGCCCGGTCCCAAAGGTGTGATCACTGTCGCCGGTGATAGGAAAAAGGCGGAGGAGTGCTTTCAGAAGGGCTCCAAGATTGCCGATTCCCAAGTGACAGCGGTCGAGTTCGAAGAATACAAGCAAA